ATATTGTAAAAACAATTAGATTTGTCGCAATCAAAAGTGTATTACCAAAACATCTTGGGCCTTGAAGTCATAATTCCTTGTATATTGTCAATCACTCCCAGTCCCTGATATCGTTGCCTTTTTTTTCATCAAAAATAGTCAGCATAGCGCAGTATATAGAAACAGTTTGCATGTCAACGGCGCGCGCGCGTGAGAGCGCAAAATGCTTTTTGTCGGGATCTCGCGACACAACTTCATAAATCCCTCGAAGCGAAAATATTCGTCTATACACGCATTCGAACTCCGTTATACATACGTTACGTGCGTATATGTCGACTGTACCTTTGATCCAGTTTGAGCGAATGGTAGCAGGCAAAAAAATGTAAATACGAAGGAAACGAGTCTTTCGTCTTCGATGGATGAAAAATGTGTTTTATTGCACGAATTGTGCATATTGTCCTAGAACTCGGTGTGTTATCCAGCAGCAAAAGTAACTGCACTATATATGCGGGCTTTGCAAGCACACACACGCACACAGACAGAGCCGTACATGCGGCAAATCAGACGCACCCTCGCAGTACCAAATATACTCTCGGCTCGATCTCCCCATATGATACGAGCGCAGTTCGCAAGAAGGACGCGAAAGACGCTTCATGCCATACGCACATACAGAGAGACAGAGAGAAAGAAGAAAAAACTATCCCCTACGTACGCACATGGTCTTGTGTGGCGCATACATGCCTAGTAGTTGTTGCGTCCAGATCGGCCCCGGAAAGAGAAAAGGCGTGTCGTAGGCGCGCGAGTTCGCATACACGAGCACTTGAGTCGATAAAAAGGATATTATTGTCGCGCGCGCGATGTGTGTATTCTCTCTCGCCGCTCCCTCCCTTTGCCGCTTCGCAATTCATTCCTTCGTACGCACAAAGTATTCACTCGGACCCTTTTCACGCTCTTTCGGGGGCGCGCGCTAATTTCGCTCGACGCGCTTCGACGCGCAGCAGCAGCAGTGCGGAGCAATGTGTATTATTAACGACGACGAGCTGGCTCTGCCTGGCAGCAGCAGCAGCACAATCACGCGACAAAGTGTCGCTAACGAGACCGTCGAGGGTTACCACGAGTAGCGACTATCGAGCTCGTCGAGTTCGACAAGCCTAGTGCGCAGAATTCGGCGATGATTGGCCGTTGTTTAATCGTCCGATGTATTAATTTATCAATTCCGATGACTTCTTGGCTTGGACGTACGTTAAATTTCGATGACACTCGGGTCATATTGCACGCGAAGCGTCGCGTGGCTGATGGTGGTACGTATTATATATACAGAGCCAAACTCGTACGGCACTTGGGTGTACACACACGACGCAGCTCGCACTGCAGCAGACGGCTATTGTTTGTGTCATTAAGCACGCGGCCGGCCGGAAATAACGAGCAATGCACGAGGCATTAATTCGCGCGAATTAACGGCCCGGGCGGTCCGACCGCGTACATACATACGGTCAATTGCGCAGCAGCAGCCCTCTAATACTCCATATATATGTTGCGCAGCACAGCTACACGAGTCTCGATTAGAAATCAAACTCGCGCATATTATAGGTACGCGTTTATCGATTTTTCAATCGTACGATTATATATTACACGATCATAAGCGCGTACGTATCGCGCGTCGGTCGCTCTTTCTTGCTGCGAGAAGGGCGTGGAGTAGGAATTTAAATAAAATAAAAACTATACGAACGAGCGCGCGCCTGGACAATAGTAATTAAAAGTCGATGTAGCCGCCGCCGCTGCAACTCATTAGCGGCCGAGCTACGGGGCTTGCAAGTTTGTAATTAAACGCATCGCTTTATCAAAGGCAACGCGGCAGTAGTTATACAATACATGCCTCGTGCTGCTGCTGCTGCTGCTGCTGTTTGGTCAGGCTCTCGCGTATCAATGTAATAATCATCGCTCTCTCTCACTCACTCGCCGCGTACGCGTGTATAAAACTCGCGGGGGCATCGGATCAATCCGCGATGGAATTCAAATACTTTGCCCTTCAGTATAGCTGCGAGAGAGTACGTCGAGCTATGAATGTTAATACTCGCTCGTGTAATAACTAGACGTACATAACGACTGCTCCTCCCGCAGGTACAACAAAATCCAATTCGAATTTCGCATGTATGTGCGCGCTTTTCCCCCCTCGTGGCATATATGCACTTTTATCTTGTGACGCGTACATAGCGCACGACGAAAGACAAAAGAGATGTGCGAACGTGCCCGCGCGTCTCTCGATGGCTGTAGCGAGCTTTGCGGCGCGCACAAGGGCACATACGCAGAAGTAGCACTAGTACAGGTATATACGAAATGAAATCAAAATGCAAACGTGCGTGAGGGGCTTAATTAAACTACTCCGGCCAACTGGGTGGCCGAACTTCTCCGCAGTAGTTTCGACGACATTACACGCGTATTAACTCTCGCCGAGGAAAGTCCGCGCGGCGCAACGGAGACTCGTGACAAACAGTGGTTTAGGGGATTATATGCGACGCCGTCGTCGTCGTCTATATACGTGATTATGTATACGCGTGCAAGCTCGTCGCGTGTGTGTGCGTGCTGTATATAGCCATAATCGCGGGCGGCGAAACCCGAGCTGACGCCGCCGCCGCCGCCGAGTGCGTGTAGTCTAATTCCGCGTGAAATATAATGAGAGTCCGTACGATATAAACCCTTTCGACAAATTGCCTGTTTCCGGACGTATACCCTTACGTACGTCGTTACAGCACACACACATATTATATATACCTATATTATTCGCCGGCTCTTCATCAAATATTACTCCCTCGCCCAACCCTCCCCCCGTTTTAGCTACTCCAGCTACTCGAGTGAATTCTTACTTTCTCCAAAAGCACAGAGAATAAAGTAGCAGCAGCAGCAGCTCTCGCAGTTATTAGCATAAAAGATAAGCCGCAGTTACGAGAGAATCGATCCGACGAGGAGGAGGGGTGGGCCGCGCATGCGGATATTATAATGTACGAGTGCCAATTATTACAGAGACGCGCAGTCCATTACACGTTTCAGCGAGTAACGGCTCTTGTTGGACCTATAACGCGAAATCTGCATACACACATATTCAATTAGCATCTACAGCTTTCTCTCTCCCTCATCTCGAGAAGTTTAAATCTGCCGAATGACAAAATATATACTATCTGTAGGTTGATCTTCGCCCACCCTGTGCGCTTGACTCACGCCAGCCTAACAATATATAATATAGCTGAGTAGTTCAGAGGAGCGCAGCGACCCCCTCATCATTCTCGGTCAATAACCGTTTGCATAATATGCTAATTCTGCTTTATCAGCAGCCCCGAAGTCGGCGACACCGAAAAAACAGCCCCGCGCGCCGATTTTTTCTTTTTTAACTCCGTCCTCGAAAAGTCGACTACTTTAGCAATATGAAGGAATGTACTGCTCCACTGCACGGCACCGGCTCATTATGCTAAGTTATACGCGAGAGCTCGTGTATAGCTGCGATCGGGGAAGGGAAATGCGTAATTTCGGCAAAGTAACACGTGGCGTGCGTGGATATGCGATTGCTGTGCTGTGCTGCTGTTGCTGCTGTTTCGACAAATGCGGCCGAACTTTCGCGCCCAAGAGCACACGAGCAGCTATGTGCTCTGTGTAGCCCAAGGATCGTTTGTTTCTCTATATACGCAGGGCTGCTGCGAGATATATACAAGTTATATGTACTTTAGTTTAGCACGAGTGTGTGCGGAGAGAAGCGAAACTTTTGGCGTTTCAAAGCGACTTTCTGTAGGCGCACACGCACGGAGCGGCAGAGCTCGTACGCGTGGGAAGCTCCTGCGAGGAGTTTCGAGAATTGAATGTTCAACTGTTTTTAATAAATGGTATTTTCAGCGAGTTGCGCGCACGAATTGAATATGATATCTATACTCCTCTCTGGCAGCTTGGAGGAGCAGCAGCAGCAGCAGCACAAGTTTTTTTTTCTAGTTCTGCTGCAGCTTTGATGTACACAAAACGAGTGAGGAGTAAAAAAAATCGCGCACGTGTTCTTTTGAAGAAAAACTTGAAACTCATTATAAAGCGCGCGCGCGCGCGGCAGCGCAGAAAGTTTCGGCGCGCGCCGAAATTTAAACAATGCACTTCCTGGCAATATTCATCGACTTCCTATCTATCCTTAACGATCGTTAAAATAAAATGAAAAGAAGAAGAGGATGAAGTTTTCCTCTCTCTATCCTCCCTATCCCGCCATCGTCGTGATATAATATCTTTCGCCGAGCAAACAATAAAATCTTAAGCGAAAGCGAGCAGCAATTTTTTCCCTTGCCCCCTGAAAACGAAGAGGTCTCTCTCTCTTCGTCATTTCCTTGCTTCTCAACATCGCCTAATATTTCTATGCAAATGTGCAGCAGCAGCAGCGTCGCTGCGAGCGTGCACAGCACATATACCGAAAAAAAAGACGAAGAAGAAGATGAAGAAGAAAGAGAAGAAAGAAAAGCCACGAGCGATCGCTCTTCTGTCTGCGCGCGTAAAAGTTAGATGAGCGAGGGACTTTGTCGCGTGGCAGCCAAAAGGACGAGATATAGTTTACCCCGCGAGTATCGTTATGTTTGGCCGAGCGTCTCCTCCTCCTCTTTCTCTTCTTTCTTCTTCTCTTTCGCAATTTTCCAAATATCTATATTACGACGGAAACCAAGAGGAACCTGCGTGCGGGCACGTATATGAACACACGCACATATATAGTCAGCGATGCGGTGAGCAGTCTCCACTAGCGCGAACAACTGTACATCCGCAGAGGGTGTCTATATATCCTCAATGGACGCGCGTCGCGTGGATTCGATCCGCAGCAGTGCATAAATTGCACACGGTGGCAGCTCACTGCAACGTATCAATTTCGACAATGGCAAAATACAATTTTGTGTCCCTCGCTCTGGCCTTTGAAATGTATACCCCCCACGTGGAGATGCAAAATATTTTCCTCGTGAACGCAGACAGTTTATATAATATCATGAGAAAGATCGAATGTTTTTCTGTGGTGCACGTGATTTATCATTAAAAACAAATTGACGGTATACATCGATGCAATCGATGCTCGCTATCGCCTCGATCAATAGGCGACTCTTCGTGGTTATTATCTCAAACGTCGACGAATTCTCCGTCAATCTTGTTCTCGTCGAAGCCGAGACTGTCCCAGAAGCTCCTCTGTCCGAAATCGTCGGAGAACTTCATTTCCAGAGATTCCGGCGTCGCGATGTGCAGATAATTCATGCCTAGCTTTTTCGAGGGGTCCATTTTCGTCCAGCTCGGGGACACGTTCGGCTCGCTGTGAATTGTGATTCATATAGATTAATTTATAAAAGGCCAATCGGTTGGCATATCGACTCGAGTGTTATATTTACCCATGCTTGGCGACCGATACCCAGAGATTCGCGAGTATATGGTGCATCTTCATGTCCTCTTTGGATTTAGTGGGATCAATGACGTCGTTTCCGATGACGAGATACACATCGTCGCCGTGAGCCACTCCTACGAAGTATAGTGCAAATGTTACATTCAATTCTCGCTAAAATCTAAGAAACTCCTGCACATTACCTAAATTTTCATCGGTATGAGTCGACTCTTTGGTGCGACTATCGGTCGCTCTGTAAGAATAGTAATAGAACCAAACAGGCGTCTCGTTGGCCTCGGCCTGAGCCCGCGCGGCTTTCGCTCCGTCCACGTAGTAGGTGCGATCGCCGACCATCTTTATCAGCCGATGAAGATTCGCCCTATTTATCGGCTCATCTCCGAGGTAGTGTCGTCTTATCTTTCTCGCCACTTCGGCGTGATTTTCCCGGGCAATCGTGTAGTTGTAGTCGTGAAGCAGAGTCGCGATCGTTTCCCAGTCCTCGTCGATTCTACGCAGGATCTTCTCGTCGGGGGTGACGAATTCTGCGGTGGGGTAGAGGCCGTCCTCGCTGACGACACCCGTGACCCAGGGCACGTCGTAGACGTCTCCGCTGGTCAGGATCTCGATCGGCGGACGATCGATAAACGCCCCCTCCGAGACTTTTTCCACAACTGGCCCGAAAGGTCTCGCGGGCAGCATCAAAATTGGCTATAAATTGAATTTAATAAGTTCTTGGTTGAAAATTTCTCCTGAAATTTCCTAAACTAACCGAGAATTTAATCTGCGCCTCGACCAGACTCCTCGCGGGAACTTTCTTCAGACACTGCACCATCGATCGCACGCTCTCGGTCGGACAGCCGAGTATCTCGCCCAGCTCCAGAGCCTTTCCTCGGGAATTTTTCGCCTGCGCCAGATAATCCAGGGCCGTGCCGCTGTGCGAGATTCCGGCGTGAAACAGTCCAGCGCTCATCGGTGACAGGTAGTGATAGTGCACGCTTGAGGCCCCGGCGCTGTGGCCGATCAGGGTTATCCTCTCGGGATCGCCTCCGAATGCGGCGATGTTCTCCTTGACCCAGCGCAGCGCCAGCGACTGATCCTTCAGGCCCATGTTCCCGGCGACGACGTCGTCCTCGGTGCTGAGGAAGCCTAGAACCCCGAGACGGTAGTTGGCGTGCACGTAGACGACGTCGTGGTCGATCAGGTACTTTTCCTCGTCGTGATCGATGCTGCCCATCTGGAAGGAGCCGCCGTGGATGTAAAAGATGACCGGATACGGTGAGTCCTTGGGCGCGTTGGGTTTCGTGGGCACGTAGATGTGCAGGTAGAGGCAGTCCTCGACGCCCTCGACGTAGCTGCCGAACTCATTGGGACGGCGCTTGTGCTCGAGGCACTTCTTCTCGAGACTCACGGCCGACAGAGGCTTTTCCCAGGCTTTTATCGGCTCGGGCGGCTGTGCGACACGAAAATCGAGTTTAAAAGAGATCGATGCTCAAACGCTGCGTTAAAATGTACGTACTTGAAATCGTCTGTTGCCGATGGGCGGAAGTGCATAGGGCACACCCTCGTAAGCCGCGTATCGGTAGCGATGGAACGAGGTCTTGTAGTGGCCGATGATCGTGCCCAAGTTCGTGACCACCGACGGATAGTCTTGACACAGACAAACACCCACACTCGCGAGAATCACAGCGACGAGATTGAAATTTCTCATTTTGCCAATAATTATGTTTGTTGCGCGCTGTACCACCTTATGCGCGCGAATGACGACGACGACGACGACGCTTGTTGTTTTGATATATTATTATACGATGCAACAATGCATCGCAGTGCCAGAAATAATTTACGTAAGCCGTATTGGCGCTGCTGACTGACCTACGGAGTTATCTCGGCGATAAAAATGTTTCGAGGCACTCAAATTGATTGATTGACCCGTGTGTATCGAGCGAGATAAAATAATAAACGTTGGATCGCTTCTTAATACGTGCACACAACAAACAAAATCTTCTCTCTCGAATGCGTTCTGTGAGGCAGATACGGGGCTTTTTGCCGTTGAACTGAAAAAACTGCGTTTACACGCTTTTTTACTATAAATGCTACCGAGACACCTACGCGAGCTATATACTGATACACGGCACCGACGATGAAGCGAAAAATGTCGATAATAACTCAGACGCGCGGCTCGAAGTGGAAAATAATTTGATTTGCTCGATCCGCGTACGCTAATGCGTATATCTACGAGCAAGTTAAAAAAGTAAAGTATCCAGACTTTTTCCTCGCTCACTCTCGATCTATCTCCCTCTTTCTCTCGCTCTTTCTCACTCTATCTCGAAAGTTTTTAATGAATGTATGTAACTATACTTGTATACCTGCATGTTTGCGTACGCGAAAAAAAAAACGATTTTTCTTTTTCTTTTTTCCTTTTTTTTCGTTCGTTTCAATTCGCGCGCGACAATGTTCACAACCTGTGCGCGCGTGTACGTATATGGATCGGAAAAAAGCAAGTACCAGAGGAGTTTTTATTTATTCAGACCGAAAAACTTGCGTCTGTTTTTTCGAAGACGCATTTGCATGTCATGCGTATATACACGCAGCCTACCCTACGAGCGTGTTTATTTTTGTCTCGTGTGCCAACGCAGGAGCTCGCGTGCAAAGTCGATCCATGGCGGCAGCGGCGCTATGTATGCTGATTTTTTGTTTGGACTTCATCAACGAGCGATTCTTTAGTGTCAAATTCAACTCTCTAACTGGAAAGTAAATCTGCTGCTGCGCCTATTTGCGTGACATTTGTTCACGCGCGCAGTTTTTTTGCCGCTGTTTCAAGCCTAGTCGCCGTTCATTGAAAGTTCGATCGGTGACGTAGTAGTAGTAGTAGTAGTAGTAGTAGTAGAGCAGCGAATAAATAGAGCTTAGTTCGGTGAATACTCAATTTGGAGCGATGGAAAAGAAACAAAACAGAGATTTCGAGGCACGGTGAGATAGTTTTCATGACGATTTGTTTTGCCTCTCGATTCGACTAGTTTATTTTGAAAAATCCCGATTTACAGTCGAATAACGAATTCGACAGCTAGCTAGATAGCTCATCAAGAGACAAGGTAAACATTAAGTTACAGCGCGTAGAGCCAGACTTGGAATGTCTCAAAATTACTACTGAAACGCCGTTGCCGAGGCGCTGCTCGCTCCAAGAGAGATAGAGAGAGAGAGAGAGAGCAGAACATATGTCTACACGAGCGACGAATTTATTGGTTTCATAATTAAGCTCTCGGTGCTGCGCTTCTGCCTAATTTATACATCTCGTTTGCATCGCGCATTGCATATAGCCGCTGCCGAGTCACAGACGGTATTATAGATGTGTATGAGCCATATTTTCATTCGAAAGCTGCAGCAGCAGCAGCACAGGGATGCGAAATTCCGGCGCAGCTCGCAAACTTCCGTTCGATTATGTACTCGCGTATAACCGAGCAGCAGCCTAGCAGTGTGCCGAAGCTTAACGCCTGGCTGAATCGCGGCGGGGACGTTATAAACCGGTGTCTGCGCACGGAGTAGCTGTTTTCTTTTCGTCTCCCGAAATTTTTTCGTGCCTGTATTAGCTGGGATGCAAATTTCCAAAACTTTAATAAACAAGGCGAAATTCCTTTCTAAACATCGACAATTTTAATTTTCCAAGTGCAGCAGCAGCATCAGTAGTGCGTTGGAGCATCGTTGAAAAAGCTCGCAGTGCCTTTTTTTCTATCCACGCTCTAGGCAGCGGGAGCGAGAAAAAAAATAAGAAAGATGAGAAAGCACTTTGGCAGGCTCTTCGGCAAAGGATGTGTGTGCGCTGCGTTGTGTGTAGGCGTCTCGAAAAACGTCAATTTCCTAAGGTCTCGGCTGCTGCTGGTGCCTTTCCGAATCTCGTCGAGCGCGCCTGCATATCTCCGCGTGCTATAATAAAGCCATCAAATCCCTTCTCGACGCTCGCGAGAAAAGAAATTCGCAGCGCAGACAAGCTTCTTTAAAAACCATATATAATAATGTGGAGCGCAAAAAGAGAGCTAGAGAGAGAGAGAGAGAGAGAATCTCGCGCCACGAGCGAAGTTATTAATTTCGCACTCAGCGTCGCGCGCGAAAGCTTTTTAAATCGGTTGTTTTCTCCCGCGAATAACAATGCCGCAGCAGGTCATATTGTGCAGACGTGTTAATTGATTCTTCTATTATACGCCCCCGCCTCCCGTGTACGAAAGCCTATAGCGAGGGAGAGGAAGTATGATTGGTCTGGAAAACATACAAGTGCATATCAGCGCGAGTCGAGACGTTTAATGATGCTTTTCGCGTTACCGGTTATTATTATACGTATTATTAATCGAATAGATCGAGTGTAAAATTGTTCGCTCGTTTCCTTAGTCGATTCCAACCAAGAGCAGTAGCAGCAGCTCTACTCGTTTTGGCAAAACACATAAAATCTCATATACTTATACGCGGAAAACAAAAAAAGGCGAGAAAGGACAGAACTATCCTATATAGCTGGAGCATTTTAATTTTCCTCGGCGCGCGGCGTTCGAAATGTCATTCGGATTATACACACATGCGGCACGTATAAATATGTACACGAGATTCGAGCATAGAAATACAGACACTCGAGTAGCACATACAATACGCGCAGTACTAGCTGAACATCAAACTCATTTGCTCACGCCGCAGTTTCAATTACGCGCGCTAATGGAAATCCAGAGCTACGACGCGCACACATATACACGGATACAACGAATACGTTATTCGCAAGTGTGTACGCGGGCACATACACACGTGAATATAAGCTCGTGCGCACATGTATGTTGGATGTATACATCTACGCACGGCCGTTAAAGAGAGTGACGTTTTCAGGCTCTCGCGCGACAGATGGGATAATTCGTCTCGGCGGACTCGCAGTGCGAGTGTATGCGGCGCGTGCAGGCGATTTACAAACGGCTGGGCATAATTTCCACTCGATTGGTGCGACGTACCGGGCATTATTTGCACACATCTCGCCCAGACGTAAATGGGCAGTGGCGTATACATGTGTGCGTGCGTGTGTGCGTTTATATCTATGCGTGCCGCATTTTTATATTGTGTGTGTGTGGGTGGAGCCTCGAAAGAGTGGCGGGGAAAATTAAATTCATAGCGCTACTTAGGCCCCGTGATATGTACTTGATTAATTGATAATTTTCAGAAATACTCTTGCGAACTTATGTAATGAGGATTTTATTGGGTTTCCGTGGCAAGAACATCGTGTAGCTTTGACGTGGATTGAGAGCACTTCGCTGTTATTTAAAGAGAGAGATTGCATTCCTGCGCAGTCACTATATGCGCATTTGCACTTGCTTATGAACGTGGAACAAAATTTTAGGAGCTGGTATATGTATGGTAGTTGCGTCGGTAATTTAACAAAATATGTGATTTGTACTAATACATTATTTATTATTTTATATACCACACAAGGCTATAAAAACTTATTCATAAAACAAATAAAATTATATTGATAGGCAACAAAAATACATTTTGTTTAATATTTACAATAGCCAATGTCATCGTCATATCAGGGCTCAGAGTTGCGTCAGTTTTATCCATTTTCCCTTTCAAACATTTTTTCATATTTTGTCCGATGCAATCGTGGACGTTCTTGTGATAATGAAAAAAATCGCGAATTTCTATAATATGTACTATAGACATTCTTGCTGGTACAATCTAGTCAGTAGAGAATCGCAGAGAAAATTCATGGTTTACTGGTATTGATACGACTGATGAATGAGCAAAATTTAACGATGATACATCTGGCGTCGGAGGACGAAGCTACCGATCTTTTGTGGGCAAAGTTGATGATCTTCGATCGGACGAATAGTATTTGGTGGCGGTTGATTAATTCATTTACGTGTTTTAGCAAGACTGGAAAATTAATTATTATTTTAGATTGAAATATTATCAAGCATTTTTTATTATTTACTTACAATGTTTTGCTCAATTCATTTTTTATATACATCTTGTCTTCATCAACAAAATCAATGGTATTTAAGTATTCTCGTATTGGATCCAAGTTTTCAGGTTTGTCGAGTGTATGTCTTTTGATTTTAAAAAAATTTTGAACTGGTTTTAGTTTTTTATCCTCAAGTACTGAACCAATAAACAGTGCCCTAAATGCTTCGTTCATCCTTTGTACGTTGCCATCATATACTTCCTTAGATATAAACATTCGGCTCATAGTTCCATCCTCTTGTTCATAATCTTCATAAGGGAACAGGACATATTCAACACCGGCGATGAACAATACTCCAGTGTTTATTAACCAGAGCTTAGTCTTTAAGGTATCAATAGTAATAGCACGAATCGTCTCTTTTAGCTGCTCCGGCTTTACATTTTTGATTGGCATCAATTTCGCAATCTCGGTTAAAACCTTATTATCATCTAAATCTCCATCTGTAATGCTGTTATTTTTCAAATATGTTCCTATTTTACAAACATTACCCGCATTATTTTTATTTTTAAAGTATGTTTCACTCGCCATTTTATTTGTTCACGACTAATTTTTAAAACTGTTGAATACTTAACGAATAAAATAAATATTTTATTCAACACAAATGAATTATTATTACGAGCTGACTTGACGTCCGAACACTAAGACGGTTCTATCGTCACTGAACAGTTACACAAACGTATACTCGGCCTCGCGTGAACGTCGTTTTCCCTTGCTCACGCACGTTACAATACAACGGTCGAAAAGTACAAATCGTAAACACATTTTCAAAATTTTCCCTCGTCGAGTAATTTACAAGCTCCCGGTCGAGAATCCTTACTCGTCGTCTGACGAGAGATTGCATTCGAGTAGAAGTCGGAAGGTCGTTTTTATAGCATCCTCATCTGCGCACGCGATAAGAGGGCATTGAGCAAAATTTCGCATCGTCAACGACGCGGAGCTCAGTACGCGATACTTTTCTTTCCTGTCGCACAGGACTTTATCGAACGGAATAAGCAGCTAATAAAACAGCTGTAAATATAATGGCGCGTCGATTTACTGCCAGGCGCATAATTTCCGCTCGATTAGGTCTCACGGCTGTGTATACTGCGCGCGTGATCTTTCGTTTTATATCCTCGCGGTTTTCTACTCTATTTCTATTACGACGAGTACGCGCGGACTATTTGCAGAGATATATACCGACGACGTAATTCTTCGCTCATAGGTATACGTTGTGTGTATATACACGTGGCTGTTTAACGACGTGTCTGGTGCGAGAACAAAAGCCTTGTGTGTCGTCGTCGTCGCGAAACCAATCGAAGCCTTCTCTCTGTCAGCTATCGTGTGTGTATGTAAACACGTGCATACGTATCTCGGATGGCAGCAGCCAGAGCATGTGGCAACTAATCAAAGCGAAATAGGTCCTATAGCATACGCTAAAGGAGAAGGACAGCTATCAGAGAGTGGCAGCAGTAGCAGTCTGGCAAGTGCGGGAATTGCACACGCATACGCAGATACTCGTCTCGTCAAGAGGCGAGTTTGAACAGTAGAGAGTGTATGTATGTATATGTGCGAGAGAACGACGACTTTGCTTCAGCAGCTACGAAGAGACGAGAGGAGACGAAACGAGACGAGAGAAATACGTTGCTATGACGATTTCGAGCCATGCTCACCCCTATCGAATTACTGCCGAGCGCGAGAATTGCCCTTTATGTACGTATACCATATCTTGCCGGGCGCGCGGCGCATATACATATCGATGAGGGATAAACGCTTCGCTAAACCTATGCAGGAAGCGATGATGCGCGAATTCCGTATGGAAAAGATCGCCTCTCTGCCAGGCTGTGCCTGTGCAGCTTGTATCCTGTATACGCTGTACGCGCGGCGCTATGTGTGTTACGTGTGCTTGCGCGCGCATAGCCCAACACGTACGTGTCGCAGTGCGCTTGAGAGAAAAATCACGTAAAGAATGACAAAGTCCTCGTGGGAGTGGGGACACAAAAGCACACACACAGGATATCTTAATCCTTGCAACTGACGACGTCGACTACGACAACGACGATGTTGCTTCGCTCGCTCGCTACTCTGCTGATGCCGCTGTTGCTGCTGCATCGTCAAAACGTAGTTTAGTATGGTATAGCCAAGAGAGAAAAGCGATCGAGTGGACGTTTCCTCTTTTTTTTATCTGTTGTCCCTGCTGTGTAGTACCTGGAGAGAAAGGATATTCTGCAAGAATAAAAGTTTTTTCTCTCCCCGCGCGTGCGAGTGTGTGTCTGCAAGCTCACTTTTTATATTCTTTTTCGTTAGATGGACTCTCTCTCTCTCTCTCTCTCTCAGGAGGATATAAATTTAAACGCTTTGTAATTAGTTTTCTTCTTTTACTCGGTTTCGGTGAGATTAGATTCTTTAGGTACTCTTACTCTCTCCAGAGGATGAATAATTTTTTTTTAACTCAACTCCCTCAGTCATTCGTTTTTCTTTTTTTTTTTGGAAAAGTATGTACAATCTCGGAGTGAGGAAAATCAGTCGGTGCAAAGTGTATTTCTTTTCTCTGTTCTTTTTTGTGTCACTACTGCTGCCGCTGCTGCTGTCGAATCAAAAAAGCGACGTTGCAGTTTTTTTCTTTGTCCAAGATCAAAGAACACCTTGAGAGCAAAATAGCGAAAGGCAGAGAGAGAGAGAGAGAGAGGGGGGGGGGAGGGGGGGGGAACTTCTAGTAACCCGACACGACGACAAGTATTATACGCAAGGCTCACACAGTTACACGTTTGTTTCGATATAAAATAATAAGCTTGTATTATATATTTTTGTCAGCTCGCAATTCGTTACAAAAGGTATATAAACTAGTACGGAGCTTTTTTCGCAGCCGACAACCCCCCTCGTACACGGGTTCGATTCGTTCCACGGATAACAACGATTTAACAAGCGTGAAAATTCAACATTTTCCAAGCTTTAGAATAGAGAAATCTCATCTCTCGATTGTACGAGCTAATTTTCCTTGCGTGTCAAAGTGTCGCAGGCGCTAGCTGGTATAGAAAGCCATTACTTCGCCAATACACACACCCACACTCTGACGCGCTCGTCTTTGTCTTTCCATTCTAACGACGTCGAAGCACCTGTAATCTCGTTTACGGCCTCAAAGGCGACGACAACGACGACGAGAGCTCCCTCCATTGCTGTAGTGTATGTGCAGCAGCCATGGAATGCAGTAGCTGCAGTAGCAAGCAAGCACGCGCACACACACACAAAGGCATCTATTCTTAACGAGCTACCCTATTTTCCGTGAAAATTAATCTCTTTTGATTTTTTTTCGCTTCTCTCATAAAGAATCGATTGATTATTTTTAAGATGTTTTCACGCAAGGTGTAGAGAATATATATTAAAAAGAAACTACGCCCAAGGCGCTTCTTGACAAGTCTTGCGCACGCTCACTTAGCACGTTATAAATAATACAAGGGAAATTATCTACCTTGGCTGGAAGAACGATTAATCTCAATATTATACAGATTAAAGTGATCTAAGAGCTCGAGCGAAGAGTTTCGAAATCCCGTTATAAATTTTAAAAGCTCATCAAAACTTATATTGCAAGAGGAGCTTTTTAACTGAAGCGCACTATTATTTTCATCCTCAAAAGAAACTGAGCCGACGATATCGGCCTTTACGGTTGACATCAGTTTTTTTTCTACAAAGTCTTTAAAGAATTAGTAAAAAAAAACGATTTTCAGTCACGCTCGTAATCAAACTGCGCGAGTAAATTGATGTTCTGTTCGCTGTAAAAGTAGAAAAGGGGTAGAAGTTCGGGGTCTGTTAATAACTGTGGGATAATAGTTCGTCGAAGCCTCGCGGGTCTTTAATGAACTCTCAGAAATTATCAGGCAGTATCTGCTAATGACACTTGTATTAAAGGGGACGGCTACAAAGCTCGATGGATAATATATAAGGACTGCGGCAGAACTTGAGCTCCCGAGGTGGTAAATCAAGGTAAACCTAATCGTTTTGCCATGTAAGATTTGATTAGGAAACTACATAGCATACCAAAGGGTGATGATAATAGCACTCGGGCTTGTAATTATATTATCTAATTATGTCGCGATTGTGCTGCAAGCTCAACTCGAAAACTCAGTTCCTTTTTTCCTGGAACCAATAGAAAAACTGATGAAAATCCATTGGCAAAGAGCTTTCTCCTGCAAATGCAATCGTTTGTGTTATTTTATTATGTATAAATGCTTGTAGAGTAAAGTATTATTTTACTTCGAATAATGAACACGAAAAAAAAACTCAGTAAACGGTACGAAAATGTTAGTTACAACAACAAAATTCGTTTTTGTTATCACAACCGAAATATTTTAGTTACGACAACTATTTTCTCTGTTGCTACAACAAAACGGACTTTTGTTATCCTAGCCGAGAAAATAGTTGTCGTAACTAAACAATTTTGGTTGTGGTAACAAAAACGAATTTTGTCATTGCAACTATCATATTGAGTTACCACTATTTACTGCAGACTGAAAAAAATTTATACGTAAGTGGACAGTAGATCAGTAATAGTATATTTTGCACCTAGGGAGTGAAAAACTGGAAAGTCGCAGAGCACGTGTAATTTATCATCCGAGGCGAAGCCGAGGTTGATAATCACGTGCTCTGAGACTTTCATTTTTCGCTACGTAGGTGCAAATACAATTTTTTGTGAGTCCCCCAGCCTAAAGTAACATTTTGGTTTTACGCAGCGGGAGTAAAATGTTACTTTAGGTTGGGGTGGCACAAAAAAAATATTTTGCTGTTGCAGCCAATATTTTTGTCGCCGCGGCTAAATAATTTTACCGTCCGAGCAAAAGGTTTTGTCGCAGCAGCGATCTATCTTTTGCTGTCTTAGATCGCTACTGTTGTACGGATAAACTCTTGCACAAGTATCGAGAGTAATCGCGCGAGCACCGAAGAGCACTGTCAACATTTTAAATCGAGTTCTAAATGCGAAATTTAAACTCGTTAACTCCTAACTTACTATCGTGCTATATAACACATGACACGCCGAACACCTACACGAGCTCGAGCAGTTGGTGGCAGTCGGCGCGCGCGGTAACTGTTTCGGCTCGCAGTACCCCGCGCGGCGCAAAATCTCACGTTTTTACACGTTCATCGCTGTATTTCAGCTAGTAAAAATAAAATTTACTCTCTGGAAAATATGTATTTCGATGGGAAATTTCCTCAGCTTTCGATTGAGACTACTTTAAAAAATCTTAAAAATGCTTTATTTGAGATGTTTAATGTTAAATGTTTATTTTTACAATTTTCCGTGGAAAATGAAAAATTTTCAAAAATCTGACTTCACCATCGGAAAGCTAAAGAAATTTCCAATCAAGAACATATGTCACATATGTTTTTTAAGTGCGTTTAGGGGGTTTTATAGCGAGATAGAAATTAAGCAATTTCGCCTAAAAGGGCCGTGCGGCCTCCGCGTTAGGACACTTGGGCCGAAACGCCTCAGGTCAAATCTCAAAATAAAATTCCGTTTCGTTAACAAAAAAAGGTGAAATTTTTTTTTGCGTGCCCAGTGGCACGGACCCCCGCAAATTGTTCATAGGACCTCCAGGAGTGAAAAAAAACGCGAGAACATGAACTTTGAAAATAGTTAATTTTTTGGGGGGCACTTTTGTGTTTTAGACGCCGAAAAGTCATCTTTTCACTCAAATACGACTTATTA